CCATGTACCAATGTGTTTTTCGATTTCCGATTTACATATGTACATTTATCCGACGTTCTTACGGTGAAGGAAAACATCGTGATGCAACCTGCACATGTCAACCAACCCGCATTGGGCCAGCGTGGTTGACTATGGCCTAGTCACCCTTGATACGTACGGGTACGTATAGTGAGCTGATGATGACTTGATCGTAGGTCCATCTAGAGAATTGGAAATAATATAGGCATATATTTGTTTATTATTTGGACTTCGTTTCTTTGGATATTGAAGACTTTATACGGGGGTTATCCTAAGGAACAGTTCTTCAAATTGTGTTTAAATTTCTAGGGAAATTAAATTAAAAACGTACAGTTAAGTCGATTACTTTATTTACAAATCATATACTTATTGTCGAACAATGTTCTATATAAAATGAGTAGCTACATTAATTATAATATTTACAAGAGAGAATACAAATTTACATCAGATATTTAGTAATGTGTAGAATTTTCTTAAAATATCGTGTTCATTTGCATTTAAATAAAAAAAATATTCCTCTATTTTATGTTACTATTCATATTCGCAAATATAAAAATAAAAATTAGAAGCCCTAATAAATATATCAAGAGATACAAAAGTTTAAAAATAATAATCATAAAACAGGAACTGTCAACTTTTATAGCAATAACGCCATCTAGCGACAAAATTGACAAAACAAATCTATTGTGGTTCAATCATTAAAAGCTGGACAAATCTGTACACCAAATAGTAAAACCAAACCAAAAAAAACCAAATTGGTCAAACCAAAGTCCTGTTTTGTCAATAATAAGTATTGTCAATGTCAATCACATCGAGAGAGCGTCTGTGGCTAAGGGATTTAGGCACTTGACATGTAATCTGCAGGTCCTGGGTTTGAATTCCGCCATATACCAATGTGTTTTCCGATTAACATATGTACATTTATCCGACGTTCTTACGGTGAAGGAAAACATCGTGCAACCTGCACATATCTGAGGAGAAATTCAAAAGATATGTGTGAAGTCAATCAACCCGCACTGGTCCAGCGCGGTTGACTATTGCCTGGTCACCCCTAACTTAGGGTAGGTTCCGAGCCCCTCAGTGGGGACGTATGCCGCTGATGATAAGATGACTACATCTCATTAAGATGTATACCAAGATTTTTATAGTCCGTTTTTAACACATACAGATCTTTATACGTACAAATTCTTATCTGATTTCACTTTCAAAGTTCTATAAGCGCCGTGAGCTCCTTCATCCACATCATCATGCCTGTTCAGAGATTTACATGAATGTGTTCTAGTAATCATGTCATAGGAACCAATAGCGCCTCGCATTGCCCGTACTGCGCTGCGATGTCTTGTACGTGTTCGGATTTCCGGTATAAGTTCTGTGTTGTAGTATTTACGTTCCTCTAATTGTAGCCAAGTGGAGTTGGATAGAAGTTTCTTTGTCCATTCATCTGTAAATATCGAAACGAAAATAGTTTTTAAATCATAGTGTTAATTGTGAAATCATGTTGCATATTTGGGCCATGTCTTGTGACACGAAAAATATGAATTTCTTCAACTCATTATGATGGGCAAAATCACAGGCAGAAGACGAGTTGGAAGGAGGAGAAAATCCTGGGTGAGAAACATCCGGGAATGGACCAATATTGCCAGCGTTGAACAACTTTTTCGCTTGACACGGGACATGAAAGGGTTCGCTGAACTGACGGCCAACCTCCAGTAATGGAGAGGCATTAGAAGAAGAAGAAGAAGAAATCTTAGTGGGAGAACATATTATAAAACGAAACGTTTGATCTTGTCTTGTCTAATGTTTTGATAGGGCCTAACAATCCTATGAAATACCTTGAGTTTTTGAAACCAAAATAATCTTGTGTAATACATATTTTTATCTCTGTTTATTTCAACGATAATGACAGAGCTGACATGATTTATACAAAGATTTTGGTCTCAGAATCGAACAGTAAAATATTTACCATTAAACAATATAAAAACATCCATATTCTAGTTCATTTATGACACTTATATTTTGTCAATTATTTATGCATTTTCTTCTATAAACTTTTGATTCTTTAATTATAAACATTAAAAAAATTGCTTTGGATATGACTGCTTTCATATTTAACAATTACCATTCAAATCCTTCATCGCACCAGCCTTCCCGCCGTATTCATGTGGCAAGCCCTCTGGTGGGAAGTAATCGACACCCATGATGTGGTTGATCTGATCCGCATTAGAGTGAACTTGGACCACCTTACGCCGCCATGGGTACAGTCCCACGTGAAGTAATAAGAGAGACATTGTCTTCAGACGATGAGTATTGATGATATGGACTTCGGAGAACCGCAGCGGATATGCTGTCTGAAATAAAACAAATTTTATAGTCAATAGTGTTAATTGTCAAAGCTGTGGGTAAAAATGACAGCGCCTCTATCGACAAGAAAGGAAAACAAAAAGCTGGGAAAGCAAAAGCACCAGAGCAAGACCACGCGTATGCATTTTGTTTTTAGCAGCTTGGAAATTATCTATTTGTAAATTTTCCCTCTATTTTTCCACATTTCAGTGTAATTCAGTATCAAAAACAATCTAACGTCATCCAAGTTTTTCATAGGATACGTTGGAAGGTTAAAATCTTGCCATATTGATTGATTCGTTATAGTTTATTTTTTAATATTTGGATCAAGGAAGAATAATATTAATTATTTTTTTACCTTCATTAGCCAGACAAAATCCTTCCAGTAGCTGCCTCGGAAGTGGTTTTTGAGGTGAGAGGGCTGCAAGTCGCACACGTCAATGAAAACCACCTCTTCACCAGGGCTCGGGTCCTCGCGAAGTCTGATTGAAAGTGACGATAAGTTATAAGTACTTATACTTAAGACCAATTTTTTAAATTCATTGCATTCGTAATTTTAGGATGTATCTATTGTCTCTTTTTTGGTTGGGTGGTAACTCCATGGTATGATAAAAAATGTTTTCGTACAGTTTTGTTTTTCAGTTGATTTTTAATTGATTGATAACGCTAGTTATAAGTTACTTCAGCTGATAATGGGCAAGATTGAAGGCAAGACACGCGCTGGACTTGGGAAAAAGTCGTGGCTACGTAATATTAGGAAGTGGACATTAGGTCAGCGGAGGAATTGTTTCGCCTTGCACTTGTCAGTAATAAATATTCTATGTTAGCGGCCAACCTTCAAGGCTGAAGAGGCACTAGAAGAAGAACGACAAACCAAAAAGTTGTCAATTATTTTTCTTTTAAGCATACTGAAGTATCAAATTCTTCTATGTAACTATACAAATAACAGGAAAACAAAGAGTATAAATGTAATTCTGTTAAACAATACATTTCGAAAGATTTAAGCGTAACTCGAAAGCAAACAAACGTTCAACGAAAACAAAGTCTTTGTTTTCTTTGTTAGAAATCTACTATGGAAATTGAAATTTACGAATAAATTTGATTAAGTCTTGTATTATATATATTATTATTTAGGTTGGTTATTGTATAAATGCAAAAAAGTCAAAATATAAGTAGCTTATAATGTTATTACTATTATAAATGCGAATGTTTAGATGGATGGGTTGATGGATGTTTGTTTTAAGATATCTCCAGAACGGCTGAACGGATCTCGGTGAATTTTGGCATACATATAGAAAAACACAAACGTTACTATTTAATTTTGTTTTCTTTTTAATTTCGCGTGCCCGGAGTTGTTAGCGACAGCTAGTATTAGTATAGATTTTAATACGAATCAAAATAGAAGAAAACAAAGAGAGGAATAGAAAATAAACAATTTGCTACATAAAGATCTGTATAATATATTTCTCGGTATACTATATTGCAAAATAATGGTCTATCATGTATCACACTGGCCATTTAAATAGCCACAAGTTGACCTAAAAGCTAAAGTGATATATGAGATTATTCAATTTGTCTAGAGTAGCCGTGCGATACATAAAACCTTCACCACATTGTATTGTTTGATATCCACACGTGGGTATACGATGAATACGTCCCACACTTGGGTATAAAGTACAGCCCACGTAGATCCTAAATATAAATTACATAGAATCATTTGTTATGATCCTCGCACGTCTCGTTTTGAAGACTACGAATGGATTTATCAATGGATATATTCAGTCTATCATGGATATCACTTTATAATCTTTCTTATTACTTTCATTGATTAATGAATCTCTATTTCTCATAGTTCATCCTATTGCTTACGTGTTCATGACGGGTCCAAGGTCATCATCATCTTTTGTTATTTATAAAAGGGATGTGCTTTAAACTTACTCCAATAATAGACCATATATTGAGTTTATCCAAACATATGAATGATGAAAAGTCTAAGGTACATTTTAAGAGATCTCTTTAGAGGTAATCGTTTACTTTTTATGAATGGAATTCATTTTAATCCTTAACTTTTGGACTAGTATGGTCTATAATTACATTTTTTGGGCACTTCAAGGTCATCTGTGTGCTCACCCATCGTATTCCATTATTCCTCGCTACACCTAATTTGCGTTCGCAGTGGTTTGTGCTACTCGTATTTTCCGAGTCGCCAAGATTTGACGTAACTACCAAACGTTACCTTATGTCTAATATCATCAGCCATCTGGCGAGTAGTGCGCGCGCTGATAGTGGCCTGTCCAATGCTGTTGGCGCGGGCAGTCTCACCAATGTCATTCTTCGTCCGGCCACGCTGCGTACTCGTAAAGGAACTATGTATCTGTAAGGCCAAATGTATTCTAGTGAGGATGGGAACACTGCGCTGGTATTCTGCTGATTAGGAGTATTGAGAAAACAAAGTACCAGATACTCATTATTAGTGAGTCTTATATTGAATTTTTTTTTCTTTTAGTTACTAGTGGACCCCATCGTTTTTATCTTGAAAATGGGCTGATGTGTTCCGTGAGTTTTGCAGTAGAATACGCGCAAGTTACAGCATTTAATAAAGTACTACTATCAATTATTATTTGCAGTTTCTAAGTTCATTTCTCTGTATACAATTTTTTTATAAGAGAAGGGGGCAAACGAGCGATGGTAACACCGAGGTGATTAACGACGCCCATGGAAATCTGCAACACCAAAGGAACTGAAGATGTGTTGCAGCCTTTAAGGAAATGGTATGCTCGCTTCTTGAAGGTCCCTAAGTCGTCTATATCCCCCATTAACCAATAACCTACTTTGTTGATTCAATTTATATTTATCTGGTCATTTCATCTTTGTATTTGTTTTTAATACCATAAAAATCTATCTATTCTAACTTTAACTGACCAAAGGTAAAGAAGGACTAATTACTTACGCGTCTTGACAACTCGACAGTATATCCTCATCATCAGGATATCTTCTATGCCAGAGTTCCGTCAGTCCTCCCGGCCCTCTCGCCTTGTAATACCTCCGCGCCCTCTTAGTGGCTTCTTCCTCGTCTCCTTCGCAAGTAATAGGGAAGAGATCCAGGATAACAAGCTCATCTGCTGTGGGCGCTCGGGTCAGGTTGTCGCTGGCCCATCGCTTAGCGAACGACGCTGCCGGTGACATCCTAATACTGGGTACAAAGGATAAATTATGTCTCTGTCTTTTATATAGGTGTTGATAGGGATAGCATTAATTATAGGATCTTACTTATATATTTATTAGTTACAAACACAAAGGCTTATAAATATTTAAAAACCGACTAGATATTCTTACATAATAAGTTCTGTTTAATTAATTTTCTTTATTGAACAAAAAAATGGGGCTCTGCCTTCATAACTAGTTAAAACTCCATTTCTAGATGTAGCAGGAGGCAGCAATTCAATGTTTTCATCTTATAAGCAAAGAACGAATTATGTAATACGTAATATAGCAAGCAGAATCATAAAATGATTATTATCAATTTGATATGCACGTATTTTTGTTCGAATTGTATCATAAAAAAGATGTACATAAGTATTATAAACAACGATCACAGGTTAAACCTTTATCGCGCCTCTGTTATAATTCACAGACTGAAGCGATTTATTCAACCGTTTTTTTTTATTTAATTTTTTATGATGTAATTCTTAGTTGTTCTATCGTGATAAATATAAATATACAATATTTTTTAAGACTAAGGTTTGAGGTTATTGTGTTACGTATGCTATTTTTCAAAATAACTAGCTGTCGCACGCGACTCCGTTTGCGTGTAATTAAAAAAAACTCGATAAGTTGTCCATTGTTCTTCCAGACTATGTTCTACACCTATGCCAATTTAAGATCCGTTGATCCGTTCCGAACATACCTTCAAACAACTATCCATCCATCCGCACATTTGCATTTATAATATTATTATAGTAAGATTTAATGACATTAGTGTTAAGTTTTATCTGTTCTAATTAAGCTGTACAATTTAAATACATTCAATAATTATATCTAAATATTAATAATCTATATTTAATTACATATATGTTAAGAAACTTTAGGCAATAGATAAGAGAAGGTGCTGTCTCCTGAAACACAGTATTTACTAGTTCAGGAGACAGATCCCACAAAATGTATTATGAAAATGTTTTTTTTTTTGCTCAATAAAGTATTTTTTTAAATTAATTAAACTACTGTAAACCGTTTTAGTAAACACTTAGCTAACAAACTCTTCAATTCTTTAACACATTACAATATCCGTCTCAGTCTATAACTTAGACTATGGAAAACCAAATTCGTAATAACTTTTTGTCGTCTTTACGCTGTGCGATTGTCCTTGGAATATTCAGAGCAAAACAACGAACAACCAATTCAAGTACAAAATAAATTATTGAGATTTACAAGACACGCACTTTGTTATACAAAAAATATATACTTTTATTGCAAGTCATGCAAGAAATAGTACTGAGTAATAGATAAAAAGTATAATAACTAATTGATCAACATATGAATATCACATTAAAACAATTGAAATTGTAACATTTAATTTATCACTAAGTAATTTTACTAATATTATAAACTTTCTGTCGCCCGCGACTCCATCCGCGTGGATATAAAAAAAAATAATTAGTGTAGCCTATGTGTTCTTTCAGACTATGTTTTATACGTATGCCAAATTTAATCGAGATCCGTTCAGCCGTTTTAGAGATATCTTCAAACACCCATCCATCCATCCACATCACATCCATCTAAACATTCGTATTTATAATATTAGTAAGTTAAATAAAAAGCAGCTAAAGAATAAATAGTATCCTATGTCCGTCTCCTGGCTCTAAGCTACCTCCTCATCAATTTTCAGGCATATCGGTAAAGCCGTTCTCGAGTTATAAATAGTGTAACTAACACGACTTTCTTTTATATATATATATATAAAAGAAAGACATATATATATATATATATATATATATATATATATATATATATATATATATATATATATGTATAGATGCGAAAGTTTAGATGGATGAATGGATCGATGGCAAATGTTTGTCTGAAGGTAACTCTGGAACGGCTTAACGGATCTCTACGATATTTGGCATGTATGTAGAACATAGCCTGGAAGAACACTATGTCTATTACGATGCTATATATACCTATTATTCTGTTAGTATTAGTTGAAACAATACTTTTATTATTATTAATGAAAGCCAGCTTTGTAAGACTTTTAGATAAAACTATTAGACATGTTTTAAACATGTTTTAGATATGTTTTTATTTAAACTACATTCCAAATACCGATTACAATACAATGATAGTCTGAATCAAATACCAGTATATCCTATCACGGTATCCCCTTGACATTACACGTATTTAGGCGATACCGGCCTGTCTGTATGTCGCAACGCTGCACACGACAAAGGTCAAATATCTATACAGATTAACTAATACTTAATAACCTATTGATAAAAAATCATTCACCTCTATCACATAAAGAAATGCTTGATATATATTCCTTGTATTTTAAACTAGCTGTAGTCCACGACTTCGTGCACGCGAAATTAAAATATCAGTAGCCTATGTGTTCTTTCAGACTATGTTCTATATGTATGTTTCAATATGATCCGTTGAGACGTTCTGGAGATATCTACAAACAAACATCCATCTAAGCATTCGCATTTATAACATTAGTATGAAGTAAGAAGTAGATTATATAAAGTTTAATAATTATTTTTTCTTTTAAACTACAACTAAAGCAGTACCTTTAGTTAGATATATGATGTTTAATCTACATTTAACGTGAAAAATCGTTAGGAATATAATAATTCAATCGCTGTACTATACATTCGTACGCGGAAAGCAAACGACCTTAGAGTCAATTAAACTTATCATGAGATTAACGCGCGTCGTAAACTAAGACAAGTATTACACGGATTATAACGTCCACTGTTTATTTATTTATGATGCAACGTTATTCGACCATATATCACGATGATGATATAATCTCACTTCATACTAATATCATAAATGCGAATGTTTGGATGGATGATTGTGGAAGGTTTTAACAGTGGTAGAGCCCGCTTTAACGTCTTCGCACGAATCGGCCAGGCTCGCCCGGTGAAATACCACGACCACACAGAAGACAGCCGTGAAGTGGAAGCAATCTGATGAGTGTGCGTCCCGGATGCCTAAAATTTAGTCCTCTTTCCCTTTCCACCCTTTTTGTCGTAAAAAAAGGATGGGAAGTGGAAGTGAACTTGCCGGATGAGAGGATGCATGGAAATGTTTTCTTTCTGTGCTTCCTCTCCTCCGTCGATTAAAGGTAGGCAACGTATATGTAATCGCGTATGTCTATGGGCAACGGTCACTTCGCTATTTCAGCGATTTCAGGTGGCCGCTCGCTCGTTTGCCACCTTATGATTTAAAAAAAAATCGAGAAAAATAGTGATTTAAATCAATTACTTGCGACTTCTGTAAAATTGATACAAGAAAAAATTATAATAATTAAAGAAAAATGAAGTTTTTCATTTAAAAACACTAAGTGCATGTTCTTAGTCATAATTGCGTAGAGTAAATTCTGTCGATATCTCCGTAAGACAAGAATAGAAGGTCGATGGCAAGGCGATTTCCTGCATTTAATTTAGTGTTGCGAATCATTTATTAAAATTTATATCGATGTTTTTGCCAATTTTAATATATGGTTATTACTGTAATGGGTTGGTTAGTAGTGAATAAAATTAATTTACCATAGCCAATTTAGTGAATTATGGTCATTTTATTATCTGTTAAAGTTTTTGTAAGTACTGTTAAAATGAATTAAAATTTTAAACGGTTTCTTATTTTTGTCTTTGCTGCATGATTTTAATACCAAACAAATCCAAAAAATCATTTTAAAATAAAACTTAGCCCTAAATAATATTTTAAAAACTATATTTATTGCTCTAATTCTGCAAAAACATATCGATATATCGGTGAAATTATCGACATATCGATGTCAAAGTTCATTGATGCGAACATCACTTTTGCAACGTATATATCTTAAGGTTCAATGGGACTTTGGTATTTTCCCAATTTATTATTTCCTGACTTATATGGATGACAAGATAAATGGGTGCATTTATATGAATAAGGGACGTTACGTTACATTTGTGTCGATATCGATAAGGGAATTTATAGCCAAGAGTTGTATGTTTTATATAGTAGACATACAAGCAAGTGTCCACCTGTTTTCGCTAAAACAGCGAAGTAACAAAATTAAAAATGTTGCAAAATCTACAATTAATGGCTAGAGTGGAGGTTCAAACAGGATAACTCCCTCATGAAATCCAATTCGTCAATAGAATTGGAATATGGCCTACCCAAAAACACACATAAACAACAAGTCGATAAAGAACTTAGTACTGATTTTTGAACATTATGCCTTAAATCGAACTTTTGTTGTTCTCTTGTTTTGAGGTCAGTTATTACCAAATGAACTCTCAAACAAAAGAACACGCGATCGTCACAATGAGAGCCATTTATGACGTCAGGTACGTCACCAACTCTTAAACTTTGTAACAAAGTATCTCCGATACATAACAGTTAGTTTGTGTATTCATTCAATTTGACGTTTCAGTATTTTTATCTTGTTAAATGACTAAGCTGTAAAAGAAATGTAATGACTTGTCTAAATAAAGTTGATTCAAGTATCAAGAAGTGTTAATCAATTGACAAAAAAAAGTTATAAAAGGACCTTTGTGACGTAGTGTTTAGTAATACTGCTATAGTTTCTTTCAGTTTTAAGGAAACTAGTCTTATTAATATTATAAATGCGAATGTTTCTATGGATGTTTCTTTGAAGGTATCTCCGGAACGGTTGAACGAATATCACTAAAATTTGGCATAGATTCTGGAAGAACACTTACGCTGCTTAATATTTTTTTTAATATGATTGAGTCGCGGCCGACAGCTAGAACAGTATAAAAGTTGTAATACAGACCATATTCTAGTTGTAGCCCGCGACTCTGTACACGCAGAATAAAAAAAAATAGTAGTCTATGTGTTTTTCCATACTATGTTCTACATCTATGACAAATTTCAACGAAATCCGTTATGAATTACGGAGATACCTTCAAATAAATATCCATCCATCTAAACATTCGCATTTATAATATTAGTAATATTGAGATTATGCGGCCAAATAAATGAATAGAGACGGGATGTAATGCAGCAGATCACGATTTTATTATCACGATTGTTGAACTATTTAACCTGTTTTTACGAATCGATTTTTTTTTAATTTAAACGAGGAAACAAGAAAGAAACGATTGTAACTAACGTACTCATAGACAATGTGTTCATAGTTACTAAATCAATATAATATAGATTTTTCATACTAAAATACTAAGACATTAATCTAAATGGAAAGGTCATTGCTTGAAAATTACAGTTTTTTCTATGTTCCGACTAAAACGCGTCTGTATCAAATTATAGTTAATTTTATCTGTATTATTATTTCGGATTTTGACGACCGCTAACAACCGCTACCGTTAGTACTAAATGGATAGCATCAAATAGGCACAAAATATCACTACTTATAGCCTGTCCGTGTATAGGTTAGTGCACTTCATTAAAGCATACATGCACCTCGTTTGCGGATTCTCTTAATCTTTGAAATTACCATAAAAGTGGAGGATTGATTTAAAAATAAATCATCTTACTAATATTATAAATGCGAATGTTTGGATGGATGTTTGTAAGAAGGTATTTCCAGTACGGTTTTATGGATCTCGGTGAAATTTAGCATAGATGTAGAACATAGTTTGGAAGAACACAGACTAATTAAATTTTTTTAACTCCTCCCGGGCGGAGTTAGAGCGTCAGTTAGTACTAAATATTACAAAACAAACTCGTGATTGCAAATTTCGCATTAACATAGTAAATGGTCATTAGCAAAACAAACTCAACGTTTGAACGCATAATAAATCATCCGATTTGTTTCATTAGACCTCAATCAGTAAACGAGAAACGAATAATTTCCGTAGAACGTGATCGAAGGAATTAATGGAAAAGTGTGGGACAATTTATCTCTATATAACTGGCTGATAAAAGGAGAGGATATAGTACTTCGTTTATATTTTTTCTTTTTTATAATCAACCCGTGATCATAGCATGCCAGTGTCTTTCGGTATGTTTCTATCTTAAACAGCTTAATCGTGGTAAGAATCTTACGAACAGTATCAGTTCAATCAATAGACTAATGGTAAAGGGTATGGACTTCCGATCACGAGGTCGGGGGTTCGAATCCCGCCATTCGACTATTGTAAACCATATCCTAGCACAAGCCTAGAGCTTAGTTGGAATGGTAAAAGAAATATTAGTAAATTTACAAAAAAAATCTGCTAATATTTAAAAAAAAAGTACGATCCTTTTTAATTGATAATAATTTATGATTAAAAATCGAGTCGTATTTTAGTTACTTTTTTATTACAAAGAAAGTAACAGAAGCAAGAAAGAAGTAACAATTGAGATGACAAAGTTATTTAGTAGTTTTCAAATTAAATTCCAAAAAAGGCAGTTTAAAGATGCCTATAGCATAATATATTATACTTAGTATATGGAAGCTATTATATTACTATGTTGATGCCATGTGTAACATATCATACGATTAAACATATATTAAACTGGTTTTTGAACGGTGACGCAGAGTTTGTTTACAAAACAAAATGGCGTTATTTTATTTATCCAATGTATTTCTTTTTTGGAAATACGATTTTCCTTAAATTAAATTTTTAAGGTACGTAAATAACGTAATTTCCTGTAATTTAATTACGTGATAAATATCCTTTAAACATGAAACTTTTTAAAAGCGTTGAAAACAAAAATATTCAAACACACAGATAATAAATAAAGAAAGTTGTATTATTTAGCTTAGTAAACATTTTAGAAATAATATAAATGCCAATTTAAAAAAATAAATAAAAAAAACAACTGAAACTTAACACTGGCCGCAAACAACGAAATATCGAAATTAAAAAAAAAACGTACCAGAGAGCGCGCGTGCTGTCGCAGCTCCAGCGGCAGTCGACTGGTGAACTGACTCACAGCAACACCGTTCACGGATTGTCTTCCGCGACTCGCCTTGACCTTACCGACATGACCGTGTTTGTTCGAAACAATCACCGATCGCATTCAAAGGGTTACATCACCATTTTTGGAATTTATAAAATACTTTTCGATAACTTACTTAAATTATAAGCACACTATTTGTTAATTAAAATAAAAATGACACTAAAAGGAAAAATACGTCTCGAATGAAACCTCACTAATGTAAATCAGTACAGTTTTTTAAACTATAGGAAGTCAGAATAGGCCATAATGTTATAGACAAATACACGCCAAAAATCTTTACCCTCTTCAGAGGTTCTATTAAAAAAAGAGGCTCGCCTTTTCAATATTTTCACATAATAAAAAAGTAAGTACAGGAATTATAAATAGGACGAACTTTTTGCGCTATTTTTACATAATTAAAACTGTTGATATACTGTAGACAACTTAACTGGTTTCATCAAATTTATGACATCATCAGCTCACTATGCGTCCCCACCGAGGGGCTCGGAGCCTACCCTAAGTTAAGGGTGATTAGGCCATAGTCAACCACGCTGGCCAAGTGCGGGTTGGTTGACTTCACACGTATCTTTGAATTTCTTCTCAGATATGTGCAAATTGCATCACGATGTTTTCCTTCACCGTAAGAACGTCGGATAAATGTACATATGTAAATCGAAAATCGAAAAACACATTGGTACATGGCGGGATTCGAACCCAGGACCTGCAGATTGCAAGTCAAGTGCTTGACCACTGAGCCACCGACGCTCCAAAATAATTTAGTTACTCTTTCGTTTGTTTCTCTTACATGTCGTAATTTATTGTTTTATATTTCTATGACATTTATTTGTTAGGAAAACAATTGAATTTTTTAACTATTTGTAATGAATGTCATTTGATTGCATTGATATATATATATATTACTTCGGCTTTTCAATATAAATTACATAATAACTGAATCCGCATAATTTAAATTTACGTAGATTTTTAGAACATTAGAAAAAGTTAAAGAAAAACATAAGATTTTTTTTTAAATGAATGCGATAAGCGGTAATATTTTTTCTTTTTTTTTTCAAAAATATGTATGTAATTTGGTAAAGATAATTTGACCTTGAAAGCCTATAGTATTTACTTACGTCTTAAACAAGTTATAGAGTAAATATATTTAAATATAACTTAACCACAGAAAAGTAATTAAAAATTTAAGTACGTTGTTTTGTTACTGTCTTTACAAAGCTATTATTTAATTACGACGTACTAAGCACTCATAAGGCTAAGCTAATTTAAGTACAAAATGCGTCGGGAATCTTAAAAGGTCGGCAGTAATCCAATGTATGATCGTGACAAGACAGCAAATGAGATATCTCTATTCTAAGACATTTAATAAATTCAGTTATGCTTTGCTTATAAAATACTGGCTGTCACCGGGACTCGCGAGGAATGGAAAAAAAACTTTATTAGTAGCCTATATGTTGTTCTAGACTGTGCTCTAAATTTATGCCAAATTTCATCATCATCAGTTGAGCCGTTCCGGAGATACCTTCTAAGAAAAATCCATCCATCCATCTAATCTTTCGCGTTCATAATATTAGTAAGATTGTTAGTCAGATTAAAAGCCTTTTGCAAACCTTGAATAATAGCTTGGAACTAAATTTGTTTTGAGAAAGTTAGTATACGGTATCGATTTTGGTAGGAATGTGCCGATTTATTGGTCCATTAACTGTTACGTTAATAACCGCACACGAGGCCGCTCTCTGCAGATCAATAAAAGTGCCAAAAGTCCGTAAACATCTGGGGAGAGCAGCTGCCTCGCGCATGCGTGTCAAAAATGTTGCCACTTTATTAAAATTAACTTTACCCAGTGTTAAGGCAAATTTATAACAAATTCGCATATCATATAAAAATAAAACATATTAACTACTTACTTACTTGCTATACTCTTAATAGTAAGTTTTATTTATGTTTTTTTATTTGTAGGTATATCAAAAATTAGTAGAAAAATAAATATCTAGAAAAAGAATATAGATCTACTAACGAAAACTATTGACATTAGTAATTTTAAATCCAGTTAATATTTAATTATTGTGTTGTTAATTTTGCATTTTACAATTGTCTCCTTAAATATAATTTTGTGGTATCCAAATCCACACAATGGCAACATTACAATAAAACGTCAAAACTAGGAACTGGAGCGAAATTTACGCGATATATATTTTTTATTAATTATGAATGAAAATGTACACAAAATGAATTAAAAAATAAGTACATTATAATTATGAATTAAGTGGTGCATTTTGACATATTTATATCGTAAATCTTTGACAATATAAACTCGTTATGTACTTGTAGTTTCGCGTTAAATGTAAAATTAATTGTTGTTTTATAGATATTAGCATTGTTATAGTATTCGGTGTTGTTATTGTTGTTAGTTGTGTTGTTGCTTACAAACGAGTTGTGTAAAAGGTTGTGCTAAATAAAATTGAAGAAATAACATTAACGGTGAAAGGTGAGTTCAATATTTTAACAATTTACAATATTTATAACCTAAAAATCATTAATTTACATTTTCTAAACATCCCTATACTATTCATTTAAAATAAATGACGCAGTGTGAGTAAAAAATCTAGACATTAGTAGTTACTTTTAGATAATTCATTACGTGTTTAAATAAATATTAGTAAATAAAATTGACGACGAAACTGTTGCTCAAATCCACTGCTATTTTTGCTAGAAATGTTTCATCATATCCTTGTTTTTATTCTATTTTATGTGGGGTTGACACAACAGTTTTCATCCTCCAAAATAACATATCATTGATCATTTCAGCAGTCTCTTTTTATTCTTGTCACATTTTACGCAATCCATCCATCTCTTAATAGGGTTACCTATTAGGATATTTATCAAAAGTTTTCACTTAAAGAAATGCTTATCAAGTATTGTAACACATAATCAAATAGTCTATAAATTATTAAATGGACTTTAATAATCAAAACTTCGATACGATTCAAAGTGTTCATCAATCAGATAAAGTTTCTCTGTCTTGTTAGCGCAACTTCGAGGTTCAACTTCGCTCCGACGTTGCCCTGAATTGACGATACAGAACTTAGATACGATGCCCTTATTGCTAAACTTCGACATAAATTTATGTAATATTATATCTTTGTATAAATTAAGACAATTTTAATTTAGTGTGTGTGTTTAAATAAACTTAATACAACAATCAGATAGAATTGAAGCGCCTGCATAAAATTCAATAGCAATATTTTTTGTCATATAAATTTCCAATACCTTAAATTATATCATGTTTTTCATAAAAGAAACTATGTTCCCAAATAACCGAGACATTTACAGTCGAAATAAGTTTATACATAACAGCAAGGTAGTCACAAAGTGTACTTACGTATAACTTGAGTTTCTAGCTAACTTATTTAACGTGAATAAATGGATCTTCGCTAAACTTTGTTAACGAGTAAAAGTTATTTAATGTCCCTTACGTTTGAAGCTCGAGGAACGTGACGCAGCACTGTATCACAAAGTTTCAGAGGGCAATAACTATGCGACAACTTTGTATGCTGTATTAATTTGTTTTGGCAAATCAGTAATGAGTTTGTCTTGAAACCTTTTACACAGTTTGTGATACTCGAAATGTGCGACTTTATCTGACTCGGTGAAGAAGGTTGACAGAATATACGTTATATCTAATTTAAGATTAAAAATAAACACACAAAAGCAGTCATAACTAGACGGCAACAGGACAACTAGAATCTTGCGGCTCTTTTTTGTTACAAAATCTAGAGTTTGTGGCACTTCAGACTCATTTCCTATTTGCTCTTTCCTTATAAGAAAAAGGGTGGGAAGGAAAAATGGATTTGATGGAGCAAGGTCTCTTTTTCCGTAGATTAAAGGTAAGCTACGCATCTGCAAATACGGACGTCGATGGGAAGCGCTTGCCATATGCGCATTTGCCAAGAAATAAAAAAGTGTAATAAGCGATTGTTATTGAGTTGGACTTATGTACACCGGGTCAGTATGTCGGACATAGCAGTCATGGATGCAACTTTTCGAAACATATTGACATCCTTATCATACTATTTGAGAATAACAGAGATAACAGTCTTTTTACGTATTAATTGATATTGTTTCAGATTTAATAATGCGGTATAAGCGGCGCACATCTCAGACGACGAGGGCGTCGCGGCATTCTGACAAGAAGTACACTATCCGTAAGTTACAAGTCATGTTTATATTTGGTTTCTACAGCCAGTAAACCTGTACAAAAACATATTCTCGTCTCTGTTTCTTACAAAGAATGAGTGGGACAGATATATGATTTGGAAAAATATTTTTCAGTAGAAAGCAAAGATTAGAAATACAGACTATATTGTATATATAAAATGTGCCAAATCAGGAGTCAAATTTTGTAAACAAAGTGCATATGTTAATTATATGGTCGTATTTTTTTAAACATTTCTACATTTGAATTGACGTATGTCCAATTTAATTTGCATTATCGGACGCGTTTTTGCCTAACAATATAAAAAAAATATACATCTCGTTTTCTTGGTTTCTAAAAATCGTAACACTTCCAAATGTATTTACAATGGGCGTGTAACTCGTAATAAGCTAATGAAAATGAAATTTCGTACTCGACAAAATTGCGTAGCTTAATAACATTTCGTAAATGGTTTCGTACAAGAAACAATGGTTAAGTGAATTTGGTAAAAAACTTGAATGTTCCAATAGAAATGTATTTTCTGGATAAAATTACAAACAATTCGTTATAAAATAAATAATGAAAGAAATAATAATAATTTAAAATACAAACTTTTTATAACGATTATAAAATGCAAATATTTATTTTACAATACACCTCAAGCTATTTTTTGTCTACTATATTTTTTATTATGTTACATATACAACATTCTTAGTGGCCAGTATTTTTAGCAGTATACAAACTCCTTGGTTAACGAAGCAACAGTTTAACATAATTTATTAAGTAAATAAGTTCTATTTCTTTCTTCACTCACTTCTTTTAACACGTGAATTAGCAATAAAATCCAGTACAGACCATTTTAAGCCAGTGTTAACTGAGTCAAGGGGCTGTTAACATCCGACAGCTCTGTTTCCGTTACGACTCTTTCATACGAGGGCAGAACGATAAGGTAGAACTGTAGATAGTATGTGAACAGAATGTTACGCCGACCACGACATAATAGAGCCCGTAGAGTAACATTCATGAAAAATTTGACAGACATTTGACATATTGAAAGGTATCGTCAATTCGCTATATTGACCTATGACAGCTGCAGAGCGTCGGTGGCTCAGTGGTCAAGCCCTTGACTTGCAATCTGCAGGTCCTGGGTTCGAATCCCGCCATGTACCAATGTGTTTTTTCGATTTCCGATTTACATATGTACATTTATTCCGACGTTCTTACGGTGAAGGAAAACATCGTGGTGCAACCTGCACATATCTGAGAAGAAATTCAAAGGTATGTGTGAAGTCAACCAACCCGCACTTGGCCAGCGTGGATGACTATGGCCTAATCACCCTCAACTTAGGGTAGGCTCCGTGCCCCTCGGTGGGGACGTATAGTGAGCTGATGATGAATGAACAGCTGCAGACTTTGGGCTAACAATTAGTGTGCTTTAAACAATGCCAGTACTTATATTGTGAACTGCTCTGCTTGAATTTTGTCCTCGTGTGAAAGTGTCATTATTGATCCCGTTTCCTTTAATCGGAGTAGCGTCAGCACGCGCAATGACGGCTTTTGATGCCATTTAGTGAGCGCTTAATGGACTAAAGACTGAATACTGTTTTGTAGAGTATAGGTAAGTTGGCAACGGTTATATTTTTAGGATTAACGAAGTAATATAGATAGATAGATAGATGGGATGGAGAATAAACATTTTTTATATTCAGTTCATCCGGTTGAATCATGAGAGTAAGTTTTATGCGCATATGTATGTACAGTCAGCTGCATAAATCAATTTAAATAACTTTATACACTTGTATGGCAGTTATATGCACGTTTTCGTCAATAACATTTATTTATAGTTGGAAGCATAAAGATAGACATGTGCACACATCTTTCTGAATTCGAATGCGCATAATTACAAGTTTTTGATGCTTTGTTAATTTATATATATTTATGCAGCTGACTGTACATAAGTGAAATTCTCTCTATGTTCAAATAACCGACACAACTTTGACGAGATAAATATCGTTTGATTCGTTATCGTAAAATCATAGGGGTGCATTGAGTCATAGAATATTTTTTTTTCTTTTTGTTATAAATACTAGTATTTATTCTGTTAATATATAAGTGTGTTTTTAACATAAGTATTTTAAGTTACAGCCGACATCGTACGAGTTTTTAATTATTTAAATCATCTGCAACTAAAGCAGTTAAGCTTTAAAGCTCGCAGATTAAGTTGGCAAAGCCCGTTAACCGTAGCTAGTTAACAATTAAATATCAAAGAGTTAAATACTCTTTTGTTAAATATTTGGATGGCTTTTACTTAATTGTAAAGTCAAGAGAACTTATTTTTCCATACTATTATTTATAAAGAAGTTTTTTTTTATTTTGATATGTTACGAATAAACTTAATAACTACTGAACGGATTTTAATAATTCTATTTCCCTTTAAAAGTTATATTATCACCAAGTAACAAAGGCTATACAGGGTGTTCCAAAAAGTTACATACATAGGAAGGGGGATGATAGTGGTGGTCACAAGGGTCACCAGAAAAATAAATAAAAATTCCCATCTGGGTATTAAAAAAAATAAAGCGTATATTTAAAAACTTAAAAATTTTACACCTTCTGGGGCAATAAGGCTATAAGATAGTTGTAAGTTATTTGCTTATTCTCTAAGTATAATATTTACTTAAGTTAAATTAATGTCGTCAATCAATGTACCCTTGTTTATCTGATGTCCGTCTTAATGAACGTTGACATAATGAACCCTCGCTACATGGCTGATGTAATTTGCTTTGTGTACATAATTCATGTAACAAGAAAGCAAGATTTTATTTACGTAATATGTCAGTTCTAGATTTATAATCACTTGAGATTTGGGTTGACTAATTGTTAGATGTTTTCATATAAGTAAGTGAATAAATCAAAGAAAATCCAATGTCCATATCACGAATATTTATTTAATAAACGATGTTTATTAGAATGATAAATGTATTATTTAATAAACGATGTTTAATTCGATGTGCGATTTAACAGCTGCGTAGTCGTTATACGGCACATTAAGATAATTTTATTGCAGATTCCTGCTGCAAGCTGGCGATTCGCCAAATGAAAGGTGACCAATTTATTAAAACCATTGCATTGAATTTTTATTATTTCTAATAAATTTAAATAAATATTAATACATTTTATGTAGTTTTAGACATTATTAGTTAGAATCACTTGACGCGAATGACGTGCTTTCGTTACAAAGTCAAGTGTCAGAATGAATAGTCAGGGGACATAAACGTCGACATTTTATTAAAGCTAGTGTTGCGCCCACACTGACACATTTTCGGATTTTCAATGATTTCCGATTAACAGTAGAAAATAATCAAATAATTTATGAAATAAATATAAAAAAAAAGTTTAAGTTAAGAAAAGTTAGAATCGGCTCCAACAATTTTTATAAAATTTAGAATATAGGTTTCGGGGGCGATAAATCGATCTATCTTTATTGATAATCAACTTAAACATAAACTTAACTTTTTCTATCGGTAAGATCGAAAAATATTATTCATATTTTATCATTTTATTAGTAATTCGCACTTAAATATAATTGCCAAAAACACAATTAAAAAAAAATACCGGTCATCCAGGTACTTGGTTATTAAATATCACTATCATACGTCGTCGCCCATTGTCATTTCCTCTTTTGTTAAATATCTTCGTAAAACCTCGACAAATTATAACCAGTTTTATATAAATTATTAAATCGATGTGAATTGAATAAATGAATATACGATGAATGCTTAGTTACAGATTGAAAGTGATTGATGTATGGAACGAGAAAGCTTTTGCAGGTTCACTTATACCTCATTTTTACTTTATTAAAGGTAATAAGTATGAAAAAGGAGAAATTTAGGTTATAATTTATAGAGAATTAAGTAATAATTAGGATTAGGGAGCGTCGGTGGCTTAGGGGTCAAGCACTTGACTTGCAATGCAGTTCCTGAGTTCGAATCCCGCCATGTACTAATGTGTTTTTCGATTTCCGATTTATGTACATTTAACCGACGTTCTTACGGTGGAAAACATCGTGATGCAACCTGCACATATCTGAGAAGAAATATCAAAGATATGTGTGAAGTCAAATTCGACTGTACTACTAAGTCCTAGAAATTAAAATGCTTACGCAACATAAAACAATCTTACTATAATAATAGTATAAATTAGATGAAATTTGGCACACATATAGAACATAGTGTGGAAGAAAACATAGGTTACTAATTATGTTTTTTTTAATTCCGCGCATACGAAGTCGCGGGCGACAGCTAGTATAGCATAAAAGCTTTGTTTCAATGTTTTGGCAAGATTTAGCTTAAATTACAATAGAACAGAAAGAATAAATGCAGCGTAAAATTGATATTCTGCCAACTTTTGAACATTAAATGCATTGCCAAATTTCTGAAAAATATATCATACAGGTACTTATATACTTTTAAGTTGGTATATAAAGTTATTTTCTGTATTTTTAATAAGCATACGTTGCCTCTGTACTGCCTTGTAAGGTAAAATAGAATTTTGATGAAGTATTTCAATGTAAACCCACCCTTAAGTATTAATTATTTTAATAGTAGTTGCATGTTCAACTGTGCATTGTACTCTTATGGGCTCTTAGTGTCAGTGATTGTGGAAAATTTAGTAAGCGCAGGTGTGGTAGAAACGTAACTAAAGTTGCGCTACAATTGTACATTGTCAAATGACCTAGTTACTTCTTGAATTATGTTGTTAACAGTAGCGGGAGGGTTAGACTCTGGGTACAAGGGGCGTTTGCAATTCCCCCTAACATACCCTATCTTTGGATGATTTCTCCCAACAACGAAAAAAGGGGGCGCAAAAATGTCGCCCAGGGCCCTGGGAAAACCGACCCTGGTTTTTATTATATTTAGCTTCCTAAAAGATTTGAGTTAGATATTTTATTATTCATCGCTGGCATGCAGACAAAACGTGCACACTAATATTATAAATGCGAGAGTTTGT